TTACATTCTCTCCTCTATCTTTCTACTTCTGGACTTTCTTTCTCCCACTTCTTAGATGAACTATATCCTCTGTGTCCTACAGCTCTGGCTTAAAATCTTACTCACTGGATCTACCCAGTTGCCCAAAGTAGAACTCTGGAGTCACCCAGGTTCCTCACTCACACCTAGGACCAATGTTGAAGCTATGCCACGTTAACCCAAGTATCTCTGAGGCCTATCATACTGATTCATTCTCTCTGCAATCTACTACAGGTCACATATCACTATAGGAAAAATGATAACTAAATACATGTGAGTAAAAGACTTGGAGGAGCCTCTTATAAGCAAGGATAGCTCACTTGAACACAGCATACTGGAATTCTTTTTTGCAGAATGGATTCTTCTAAATCTATAGATATAGGCAGATGTCTGAGCATCCTGGTCTTGAGAATCTCAAACACACAACAAAGGGTAATAGAAGCTCCACCTACAAGACATAACAGACAGCTCAGACCTCCAAATGTACAGTATACTGTGACATATGCCTGATATCACTAGTGACAAAAAGAACAAGGGGATTTGCCTTTCATGCCAAAATAGAGCAAGCACATCTTGATTTCCATTGCTTTCCAAAACTAGACCTTCAGTTGCAAATGTCAAAGAAATAAAGTGTAAGCAAACAAAAAGTCAAGAGAAATGACAATGGAACTGGTAACGAGTGCATAAATTCTACTTCACAACAATTTCTTCAGGAATCAAGCATCACAGAGTAACAAATTAGCAGTGAAATGAGTGTGTCAGAATCCATTCTGACAGTACTGAGGCTAAGAACAAAAAGCTCCCTCCCACAGGGCTCTGAGTGTGGGAACTACACAGTGTTCAAAGACAAGGCTCTAAAAGGATTAAGAACACAGTTGTGGAAATACTGTCTGAATTCCCTGTGGATGTGACTGCTCTGTGCAAACCAGGCACCAGTTGTTCTTTCAGAATGTGGGTTTGTCCTTGCATTGCCAGATGAGCTCAGAAGTTATGTCCAGTTTTAAGACTGTGAAAGGGACAAGGCAGGCAAGGAACACAGCAATTCTGTTACAAACAAGTTCACTACAAAGTTAGTATTGAACAAATCTGCAGATAAATGAGCTTCAGAGCCAGAGAGACCAAGTTCAGATCTCAATTTCACCACCTAACAACTTCATAATTTTAATAATCCATCCAATTTGCCTATGCTACAGTTTCTTCATGAATAAAATAGGAACTAAAAAAGTTCTTATTTTATGGGCAAAATGCCTAGACCATGTGTGGTGCTGTGAATGTTGCATAACATAAGAGCAGGTAATATCATCACTGTTATTTTCTTTACTATTTTTAGGCTCCATATCACTCTACAACCTGTGCTTCAACTCCAGCTTCACTACATCCACCAGGCACTGTGTTCATAATGCAAAACAACATCACTTCAGTTGACATCTCCATCTACACTCTCTGTAAGCTTATAATCAATCACCAAAGACTGTGTTCAAGCCAAATTCAACACATCCCAAAAGTACAGAATAAGAAATACCCATACAGTGAAATAGTATCCATCCTTAAAAAGGGATGCGGTTCTGATATATGCTGCAGCATGAATAAGTTCTAAGAACATTCTGAGTGAAATATACCAGTCACAAGTGGGCAAATATGGCAGGATTCCATCAACATGAGATTTCTGGAGCTGGCAAACACAACAGAGCAGGAACTGAGGATGTCTACAGGGAGGGGGAAAGGGGATGGGAAGCTATTATTTAATGGGTGCATCATTTCTTTTGGGAATGATAAAAAAGAAGTTCTGGAAACCCATTGCAGTGGCCACGTAGCTCTGTGAATGTGTTTGATACCACCCAACTGTGCAAGAACTTAAAATGGTAATTTCTGTCCTGTGCATTTTCTAGTAACATACATAAAATAAAAATAGTCATTTCAAAACTTACAGAATACATCTTCAAAGCAAGTTGTATCATGAATATGAGTCTTAACTCATTCTCAAGCTTCTAAGTAGGGTGCCATAGGAATCAACATTAACCTGTAGCTGGCCATGGCCTGAAATGCCCAACAGATTGGGGCCAGTGGGGACACAGCTTAAAATTTTCATAAGTAGCCGGGCGGTGGTGGCGCACGCCTTTAATCCCAGCACTCGGGAGGCAGAGGCAGGTGGATCTCTGTGAGTTCGAGGCCAGCCTGGACTACCAAGTGAGTTCCAGGAAAGGCGCAAAGCTACACAGAGAAACCCTGTCTCGAAAAACCAAAAAAAAAAAAAATTTCATAAGTAGATTATGCCATTTTTATTTTAGAGAGAATCTTGCCATTTAGCCCAAAGCAACTCCAAACTAGCAATCCCAACTAGCATGGATTACAAATGTTTTTTCTGGGTTAAAACAAGAGAACTACTCTGAGGGGCTATGTGTACATGTGATATGTAACAGCAGTTTTGAAGGCAAAACTAATCCTTACATACCCATAATGAGTACATTCATATATTTCTGCAAGGTTTCCATATACCAGACAACATTGAAATAACCTCAGAAGTCTAAGCAGAAATTCAAAGTCCATTACTGTGACACAATATTTTAGGTTGGCAAGATGGCTCATCGGGTAAAAGGGTTAGCCATCAAACTGTGATCTGAATTCAATCCCTTGAACCCACATGGTGGAAGGAAAGAACTGACTCCCACAAGTTGTCCTCTTACTGAAATACATGCAGCAGCACACACATACATGCACACCCAATCAGAAATATATAATTATAATAAATTAGCCGGGCGGTGGTGGCGCACGCCTTTAATCCCAGCACTCGGGAGGCAGAGCCAGGAGGATCTCTTTGAGTTCGAGGCCAGCCTGGTCTCCAAAGCGAGTTCCAGGAAAGGCGCAAAGCTACACAGAGAAACCCTGTCTCGAAAAACCAAAAAAAAAAAAAAAAAAAAAAAAAAAAAGATAATAAATAAACTTTTAAAAAGCAAAATATTTCAATTTGCAAGCAAAATGTTTATTGCATAATAAAGATGTAATGAAGGGAAGTTTAACAAGACATCTAAAATAGCAGGCTTCCAGTAAAGGCAACAAGTTATCTGGTAAAGATCACACACAGATTAAATATTATTCCATGAACAACAATTTCCAAAGGACTAGAGTGTCGTTTTTATAGATGGAAAGCCAAGACCAGTCAACAACATTAGTGAGCCCTTGGCTGCTCCTCGCAGTGAATCTGGCACCCCTCTAAGCTTTGCATCACAGGAACTCTTTCTGTCACCACAACACCCACCTAAGTAATTCTATTGTCCCCATCTGACAAATGAGGAAACTGGGGTGTAGAGAGGTCAGGCACTTGCCTGGGCTCCCTCAATTGCCTACTAAGCAAAAGAGCTAGGATGTAAAATCTAGACGTCTGCTTCCAGCATCTACAGGTTCATTACAGCCCCTTACCGTCCGCTGGTGACAATGAAAAATGAGCCACAGGAAGCTCAACAAACTCAAACACACAGCAACAGAGAGTCAAAACCAGCAAAGGCTCTGAGGAAACCACCACACTTCAACCCAGAACACATGTTTGTGACCGCATCATGGAAGAAAGAAGGCAAGAAAGCCACTTAATGACTTTAAATTATTTACTGATATTTCATTACAAAAAAATTTACACATCTCTTGGAGCTCTGAATAGAAGGTATTTACAATGCAACACCATTTGCCATTTATGTCATCCTTAAAGATAAAGATGCTGTGTGTAGGGGTGTGTGTGGGGGGTGTATGTGTACATGTAGGAGGAAGACATGTCTTCTGGATGTCTTAACTCCAAGAATATGAGAGTTTACAACATAGATACAAATATCAAAACAGCCTGGAGAGGCAGCTCAGTAGAAAAACCGCCTGCTGTGTAAGCACAAGGACGCAAGTTCAATCCCCAGAACCTGAGTAAAAAAGTTGCACACAGGTCTGCAACTCCAGTGACGGGGAGGTGAGAACAGGCACATCCTGAGGGTGCTGGCCAGACCAATCTACATGGCAAGCTCCAGGCTAGTGAGAGAATCTGTCTCAAAAAAAAAATGGTGGTCAGCATCTAAGAAAACACAGTTGAGATTATCATCGATTGTCTCCACATGCACACGCATACTACACGCTTGCAGGTGCAGGTGTGTACACACACATATGCACAAACATATGGACAGATGAGTGAGCAAACTCTGGGATTCAACCACTAATGGTGGCCTATTTAGAAACAAACAAAAACCAGAAAGAAATAAAGAAAAGGAAGGAAGGGAGGGAGGAAGGGAGGGAGGAGAAGGAAGAGAAGAAGGGAGGGAGGGAGGGAGACAGGCTTTGAAAACATACCATAACCTTGAATTTAAATCTTGGCTTTGCTTTTAGTTACTGGTAATTTTCATCCGGTCAATTTCATTGAACTAAGCCCCAGTTATTTTCTCTGTAAAGCAGACATAATAATTCATAACTCACAACACTACTGCATGAACTAAGGAGATAATGAAATGTAAAGTGTTGGGTACAGTCCCTTACAAAAGACCGTTGACAGTAAATAATATTCTACTCCGTAGCCCCCAATACTGGCAACCCAATCTTTACCAACTAGTGAATCACTGGTAGCCTCATCAGAATCACACGAAGCACAACATACTCTCCAGAAATGAATGTACTAATTGCACGTGGAAACAAAACAAAAACACGAGGGATCAGAATTGAATTCAGCATCAACAAGAACCCGGTTGTCACCCTTAAAAGTAGCTCTAAGCACCGCGGGCTGGCGTGGTTACCATCTACCCTGAGCGCCCACCACCTTTGCAGTTAACTGTCTCCACTGCCTGAAAAGCGCAGAGCGCTAATGACGCGGTTACAGTTTTCGTGTCAGGACCCCACGGCTCACTCCACAGGAGGTCGAACAGAACCCCGCGGGATCACCCCACGACAGGTCGCGCAGGACCCCGCTTGCTCACCCCAGGGGTCTGCGTGACCGGAAGCAGCTGACTGACAGAAGTTACCTGTCTCAGCCGACAGTGCTGCAGCTGCACTTCCGCAGACTCCAGGTTACTACGGGCTACCAGGCAAACACCGATGGCGTCATCAACGCGCGCTCTCGTCGGCCGCTGTCCTTCCTGTGGGTCGACCCCTCGGCCGATGACTGCGCAGGCGCGGAACGCCGAGCAGCCTCGGTACCCAGGATTCGTGATTGGTAAACTACACGCACGCCTCATTGAAATACAAGTGTGTACTTTCTGCTTTTGAGACAGGGTCTCTCTATCTAGTTCTGGGTGACCTAGCACTCACTATGCAGACCAGGCTGGCCTCGAACTCAGAGATCTGCTTGCCTCTGCCTCCTAAGTGCTGTGATTAAAGGAGTGGGCTTCTTACTCCAAACAAGTCTACGTTTCTGCTGCATGTGATTGGGGTTTACATACTCTTTCCACCATGTCTCAAATAAGGTCCAACTATTCGCCAGACAGGTCTTAAATAGGGTCGCACTATGTGCCAGGCAGACACTGTTTCAGAGTCTGCGGCTGCAGAGATGGACCAGTTGTGCCTGCCTTTGTGGAGATTATCTTTGGTTAAGAAAGTATGTACAGGTAGATGTCTGTGAGGTCCAGAAGAGGATGTCAGATCCCTTTGGAATTGGAGTTACAGACAGTTGAGAGCTACCATGTGGGTGCTGTACACCAAACCCAGGTCCTCAGCCACAGCAACTGGTGCTCTTGACCACTGAGCGATTGCTGCAGGCCATCGGCTCATTCTCTCATGTGTGGTTTTTTTTTTTTTTTTTTTTGGTTTTTTGAGACAGGGTTTCTCTGTGTAGCTTTGCGCCTTTCCTGGAACTCACTTGGTAGCCCAGGCTGGCCTCGAACTCACAGAGATCCGCCTGGCTCTGCCTCCCGAGTGCTGGGATTAAAGGCGTGCGCCACCACCGCCTGGCTTCATGTGTGTTCTTAGAGGTAAATCTATGGAAGTAAGACTCCGAGAAATGGAAGGCAGTCAGAGCCACTTTACGATAGAAGGTCCATTATTCTCAGAGGAGACTCCTTTAACTAGGAAGAGAGAGGGCCGGGCGGTGGTGGCGCACGCCTTTAATCCCAGCACTCGGGAGGCAGAGCCAGGATCTCTGTGAGTTAGAGGCCAGCCTGGGCTACCAAGTGAGTACCAGGAAAGGCGCAAAGCTACACAGAGAAACCCTGTCTCGAAAAACCAAAAAAAAAAAACTAGGAAGAGAGAGGAAGCCTGTAAAGACCTGAGAGAAAAGCAGCCGGAAGCATCCAAAGCACCTGGCACAGGCAGCTTGTGGCCCCCTTGAGGAAGGAGGTTGGGGAAGAACACAGGGTGAGACCAGCAAGGCACAGAATCCATGCTCCTTACAATGCCCAGAAGGTGCTGACTGGATTCTGTTACCCGAAGACTGAGTGACAGGAGCAGGCTTCTGTGTGTGTAGTGGGCATGAAGGACTCAGAAAGAAGGGTTTGGAGGAAAATGGATACAAGTCAGTGATAATTTGGAAGTTGATGTGGCAGATGGGGAGGAATTAGATAAGGGTCTTAGATTTTTAAAAAATGTAGTTATCCGGCGGCGGTGGCGCACGCCTTTAATCCCAGCACTCGGTAGGCAGAGCCAGGCGGATCTCTGTGAGTTCAAAGCTAGCCTGGTGTACAGAACGAGATCCAGGACAGGCACCAAAAAAGAAGTTATCCAAAGTGACTGATAAATTTTACATAAGCAGATTTGCTGGGCTTTACAGTGGAAACCAGGTTTGTTCCTTCTTTCAATCCCAGTTCCTTTGCCTGATGGTTACCCAGCCCTCTGGGATCTAGAGTCTAGGTTTTCTTCTCTCTGGCCTCCTCCACTCAGTGTCTGTTTTGATCCTCCCCAACTTTCCACTTTTCATACTCCTTCCCTCTTGGGTCTTTTTACACTACCACACACAAGTCTTCAGTAGACTTAAAATTCTAAGGGAGGAAGTATGTGGAGGATGCTGTGAGGAAAAGGGGCTCTCTGTCCCTACTTAGCTATAGTTGATTTTGCCTACCAAAACGCTGGCCTGTGGTGTAAGATCCTACCAATCTTAAAAAGAAACAAATATAAAAATATCCATCTACATAAACTCTTCCAAATCTTTTAAAAAGATTTTAAAATTATTTTTTAAAATGTATGTTTGTGTGTGTATTTGTGTGAGGATAGATGCCCATGAGTCCAGGTATCCATGGAACCAAAACATTGGATTCCCCAGAGCCGGAAATGGGCAGTTGTGAGCTGCCAGATGGGGGTGCTAGGAACTGTCCTGGTGTTTATTACCCCAGTGTGAAGACTTTGTTTTTATGACTATCAACGGGAAGCTGGCAACTCTCAAATATGTCACTCCACCCAAATCCTTTAAAATGTTTCTTTTTAAAAATACACCTGGCTGGGCAGTGGCGGTGCACACCTTTAATCCCAGCACTCGGGAGGCAGAGACGGGTAGATCTCTGAGTTTGAGGCCAGCCTGGTCTACAGAGTGAATTCCAGGACAGCCAGGCAGTTACACAGAAAAACTCTGTCTCTAAAAAACAAAAACAAAACAAAACACCACCAACAAAACCCACCTGTTTCACCTAGATCACCAGTTGATATTTGAAAAGTTGACATTTGAAAATTTATCCTCTACCCCAATTCATGTGTTCTTAGTCATTAAAGTCTTGCTGGTCACCCAAGCCTGAAACCCAAAATCATCCGAATTCTCTCCCACAATCAATTGATATTGGCCACATTTGTTCAGCACCTCTATTCTTACAAACCTTTCCCTTGCTCAGGTCATCACACCCATTTTGTGAGCTAGTCATGTGACCTTTCTGTATCTCGGTCTCATTTATAAGAGACTTGAACCAGATTTTTCTAAAATCGGTTTTACTTATACAATTCTTTGTTACTAAACCACCAAACATAACAGAATATTTGTCTAGGTTGTTGTAATCGAGGCTATTATGATAGGCCAATGGGGGAGAAGAGATTAGATTTTATAGAAATAGTACAAAAATGAAATTTTACACTAGTTAAAACTAGCCCATATTTATTATAGAGTGAAAATTCATTGAAAAAAACCTGCTGATCATCAAATATTGGGAAAATTACAAAAGCAGATATGGTAAACTGACCATTTATTGAAAGTTGACTTTAAAAATACAATATTGATGAAATGTAGATTATAAGAAAAATACATAGGACAACCACTTGCAGTTTTCACACATAGCTGAGTAGCAAAAAGTAAGCTCCTTGTAAAGGGAGAAGCAGCTCATAGCAGTTCCCCAAGACCTGAGACCAAAACAGAGACATCAAGCTACTTTTAGGCAGTCACCTCTAAATTCAGGCACTTACTTTTTTTTTTTTGTTTTTTGTTTTTTTGTTTTTTGTTTTTCGAGACAGGGTTTATCTGTGCAGCTTTGTGCCTTTCCTGGAACTCACTCTGTAGACCAGGCTGGCCTCGAACTCACAGAGATCCACCTGGCTCTCCCTCTCAAGTGCTGGGATTAAAGGTGTGTGCCACCACCGCCCGGCCTTTTTTTTTTTTTAAATTTGGAGACAAGGTCTCAGTATAACCCAGGCTGATCTCAAACTTATTGTGTAGTGGAGAATGCAGATAGCCTTAAGTTCCTGATCCTCCTGTGATGCCTCCCTAGTGTTGGGATTACAAGCCTGTGCCTCCATGCCTGGTTTAAAAACCAGCTTCCTGATTAGGCAAACACTCCACTCTTTGTAGGTTCTTGCCTTGTCTCCTCCCCAAAAGCTCCCTTTCCTGTGAGACAGAACTATGATTTTTAGGTTTTTTTTAACCTTACTATTGTAATCGAGGATATTGTGATAGGCTGAGGAGGTGGGTGTGAATTTTATATAAATAGTACAAAAATAAAATTAACACCAACTAAAACTAGTCTTTGTTTGTTATTGTTGGGTCCAGGGTCACGCAATAATGGCAGACAGACCACCAAAGTCTATTAAACCAATGGCAAACTTTATTCCAGAAAAATAAAAATATTAAAATTAAAATAAAACACTGCAGGGCACAAAAGCTTATCAGCTAGCTGAGACCACAGCCAATGTTGGAATTCTGGGGCTGTGGCCATGGAGGTGGGTACTGGCCCCCTTTTATAGTATCAGGCCGGGGTGCATGCTAGGAGTCACGTAGAAACAACTATTAAAAGTTAACTTTGGTCCAGGCAGTTGTTGAATAGAAGGGGTAAGGAGATTAAAAGCTAACCCCTCGCTGTTGACAGAGGAGCTGGCTGTAAAGCAGACAGCCACTGTTAGCAGTTAACCTTTAGAGCTGATGACTGTCAGTTTTTATCTCTTAAGCTTATAATTTTATATTTCTATATTCCTGGACCATTCATTATAAAATGAAAACTCACTGGAAAATACCTGCTGACCAAAACCCATTGAAAATTGGGAAAATTACAGAAATGGACATGGTAAAACTGATCATTTATTAAAGAATAATTACTTCAAAGAAGACTGGCACCTTCTCAAGCATCAATCGAGAAATGGTTTTAAATCTAGGTCAGATATGAAACCCCATTTCCCCTGGCTTCATAGTCCTGTCCCAAGATAGCCTTATACCAGAGGGGGTCATGTGACACTGTCTGGCCAATGAAATGGAGGGAGAAGGCTGCTAAGGGATTCTGGGAAAAAGGCTTAATTCTATTAAAACAGAGTTCTAAATACACCCCATAGGCCTTTGTACAGAGCACTATGCTGTTTCTTTATTATCTATGTTGCCAGAATGAGAGGAAAGATGCTTGAGCTCCTGGCAGCCATCTGGGTTCCAGGTAGTGAGCATGGGGTTGGAAAGTCAGCCAGAAAAGAGGGCAGCAGGGTGAGGGGCCTGATGGTGCCCCTGTGCCTCCTGCCTGGGCCCTGGCCCTCCATCTGAGAGGCTGTGGTGATGCTGCTGTTCTTTTGTTGTGTTGATAGTCATACTTAAGAGAGAGGACAACAGCTGTCCAGCATTTCTTTTTTTTTTTTTTTTTTTTTTTTTTTTTTGTATTTCCTTTTTTTTCTTTTCCAGATTAAGCCTTGTGGTCCACACTCAGACATATTAATTGCTGATGCTTCTGCTGTTTGGCCTAGTCTTGCTTTTGCTGCCCCTATTTTTTTTCCTGTCAGTGCCTCATGTAGACCAGGCTGGCCTCGAACTGGCTGAGGTGACTTTGAACTTCTCATTCTGCCTTGACCTCCTTGCCTTCCCCTGGGATTACAGTCATATGTCAACACACCCAATTTATGTGGTGTTGGGGGTTGGTTCTAGGGCTTTGTGCATGCTAGGCAAGCACTCTACCAGCTGAGTTACATCCTCAGCACCTCTCCTACAGCTTCCAGAAATTGACATTAACTCCTCTATGGTTTTCTCTACCACAAACTGGATTTGAACCAGCACTGTGATAGCTCTATTTGCATAGCATTAGTACAAGTCTGCCTTCATTATGCCTTTCCCAGTATCCTAGGCTGACCTATTAAGAGCCCACAGGAAGTAAAGAGGGTCTGTATAGTCAGTGGAAAACACACCTGTGCCATGTCTTCATATAGACACTCCAGAATCTCTGGGTGTTGACGGACACTAAATTTCCAGCCACGAAAAGAAAAACCAAACCATCCCTAACTCCTACTATCAGTATGGCCCAAGAAACCCTCTAAGCTTTAATTTTTCTCATTGTTTAAACCAGAGAATGTCAATAAATTATTTATCACTT